CAGCAAACGCTTTCTCGATACATTGCTTTCATTTCCAGCCCACGAATATCACCTCATATCGTTCTCGGAATGGATGCGATTACCACCAGTCATCATGACGGTCGCCAAGCTATGCATACCCAGTGAAGACCATGCCGCCATCGGGTGGGATACTCAAGCTGCTCAAGAAAGAGTGCGCCTAGATCTCTGTCTTGAATCACTTTGCTATCGGATGCAGACTCTATCGACGTTCGATAAAACAAAGCGACCCCACCCCGACTTCTGGCACGCTATGCGGATGATTAATGAACTGACAAAAAATTGGTACATTCGCAAAATCCGACCGGAGCGGCCTAGCCAAACGCCATCAGTATCTACGCCCAGCGACTCGGTTGAGCGGAGTATGAGCGGAAGTTCATGTCCCATCACCAGCGCACCAACAACGTGTCCGACACGACACGCGGAAGATCAATACAACACGCTAGCCGGCACCAACTATATAGAAGACTTCGGCATAGACGTGAACCACGTCCCCGTGACCGAGGTTAGCAACGACCCTTTCGCGCTTATGAGGGGTGCCGACTTCGACATGAGCCAATTCTTCGACATGGCGGGAGGTATCTGGGGGGAGGACAGCTATAACAACTATACTGGCATGTCTTATGGAAATGGAGCGCCTTTCTGATCCCCGTATCAGGACGTCGAATAATCGCCACGGGCAGTCATGCGCGACTTTGTTCACGACAACTTGACGCACTGCAAGACGTTGCATCGCGCCGTTGCGCTGTTCGCATTACAGATCACTCGTCTGCGAGCTCGTGGGCATGCCTCGAGGCCTTCCGCCCTAGCATGTGAATCAGACTGCCGATCTCACTCTTGTACAAAGCGACTTACATCGGACTGTACGATAGCCGTTCACTTTGGTGGCATACAGTTTGTACGCGTTTCCAGCATATTGGCGTGGCATATGGTGATTATCCCAGACAATTCCGGTGTTTGATAGGCGTTGGACCAGACACAAAGTAGGCAAAACGGGCCTCTTCCAATGTACACTGTCGCAAAGCATCGCGTACTTCCGCTTACCGCTCATTAATACCTTCCTTTACGACACTAACCCGCCCACCGGGCGCCGTCCAATACCAGTCCCAAGATACCACGCACACTGCACCCCGCGTTTTAAGTGTCAGATTCAGATGCCACGAGCGCGCCACGCGTGGTTTGAAGATGGGATTCTCATCCATCGGGCCGCGACAAGGTGGTGTCGCTTGTGAAAATGTGATTGGTTGCTAACGCGAAATTGTTGACGTTAGGCCCGCGCGCGAGTCGGCGATCGCAACAGGTTTGCACGTGCCTTGATCGCCCTGGAATCTCGTCGCATGTGTGACATCAGCTGGACCCTGCATTCACGCCTTGAAATCTAGGACATTGGCGCGTTCAGTGCACTGACTATAACTGGACGAGGATATATCTTGTGTGACGTACTCGCGGTTTGCGCAATTACAACATTGTTGATATTCGCTGCTTTCCTTACCTTTTTTCTGCAACTCGCATTATCCTCAACTCTACCGTCGCGTTTCTTTATCACTATACCCGGAATCTATCCTCCACGTTATCATGAAGTCGTTCAAGAGCTTCGTCAACAAGCGCCGCCAGAGCTGGCAAAATCGGGGCAAGCAGGAGGATAATCCGGCACCGGCACCACCCGCTTCCACTCCCGCCGACGCCGGCAATGAGAAGCGCGTAGCAGCTCCACAAGCCAACAACGAACAGCAACAAGTACTTGCTGAGGCCGCGCCTGGTACTCTTCAGCTGGCACTACAGAACAAGTCCAACTCCGACAATGTATACTGCTACATCACCGGCCTTGCTCTCGAACGAAACAACACCCCTCTCTTTGTGCAAGCAGACGGCCTGTCCATCTACTATCCAGTAGCCCCTAAAGATATCCAACAGCCACTTCAAGCCGATGTCGCCATTCCGCTTGGCCGTCCTGGTAACACGGTCAATGTCAGGATCCCTAAGATCGCTGGTGGCCGTATCTGGTTCAGCATCGGCGCAAAGCTCACCTTTCTCCTCAACCCAGGCCCTGCGGTCGTTGAGCCCAGTGTAACCAACCCCAGCGACCCCAACTTCAACATCAATTGGACCTTCTGCGAGTTCACCTACAACGACGCGCAGCTATTCGCCAACATCAGCTATGTCGACTTCGTCAGCATTCCCGTCGCGCTCAGCTTGACCAGCAACGACGGAAAGACCCAAACAGTACCTGGAATGGGCGCCGATGGCTTCCGGAGAATCATGGAGGAGCTGCGCGCGCAGGCTCAGCGTGACGGTCGACCTTGGGATAAGCTGATCTATGAGGCTAATGGGCAGCCACTGCGCGTATTGAGCCCGAACAACCTGCTTGTCGGCAACGAGAATGCGTGGGGCGACTACTGGAACGGCTACGTCCAGGCTGTGTGGAACAAGTACCGCAACGAAGACATGACCATCAATACCCAGGCAGCAGCCGGCAACCTCAAGGGACGTGTCCAAGGCAACGAACTCGAACTAGGCGAGGCAGGCAAGTTTGCTGCTCCGTCGGCCAGGGATATCTTCACCTGTAGCACCGGGCCCTTTGCAACTGGCTCAAACCAAGCGCGTAACGCAGTCATCCCTCGACTTGCTGCAGCGTTCAACCGCAGCATCTTGCTAAACACGCCTGGCAACCAGTTCCCTAACGGCAGCAACCCGAGCCAGTATTACAAGGACCCGACCACCAGCCACTACTCGCGCATCGTTCATCAGATGCAGAAGGATGGGCGCGGGTATGCTTTCCCATACGACGACGTCGTTCCGGATGGTGGCCAGGACGTGGCAGGCACGATCTTCGCTGGCAGCCCGACGTTGTTCACTATCGCTGTTGGTGGGCAGTAAGCGGCTACTGCTGATGCGAAATAGGGAGGTGGATGGTGTGTTTACGATGTGATGAGTACATACCTTTGAGCTTATTGTATATGTCTTGCATAGATCTTTGACTGGTGGATTGGGTACATACCTAGGTAGTTAGCTTTTGGTACATATTTGATGATTAATGAAGTTTGCATGCTTGCTTTACTTCCCATCACAGCAACATCGTGAATGCAGCAGGCTGGTAGTGCGCATGTCAAGTGTGAGGGCTCCGGGTCTGCCCTGCCTGTCACATGCGTGCATGAGTCGCATCGATGACGTCATCAGTCAAGCCACCTCAGGGGAAAACAGTACCAGCCTCTTTCACCCACACGCGACGTGACAATGCCACCTCATCTTCGCCGAATACAAAACCGAACTAGCGACCAAAACAAAGCTCTTCTTAGCTAGGTGAATTGCCACGTGAAGACGCGGCTCACGCGAACGCGTGACGTCATCGGAATCATGGAGCGCTCAATCTCCGTTATATGGAAGCTGCGCAACGTTGGCGCAGAGCCCGGGTTTTGACGTTCTCATATCATGGAGTTGCTTTGAAGAGAATAGTATTTCCGTTATGGACCGCTTGGTATGCAAAGTTTTTGCGATGTTCCAAGAGCGCTGACTCTACGAAGAAGCGTGTTTTAACTCGCGCGCTCTGTTACACCACACCTGAAGTAGACATTGCTACTCCATATGAACGATGAATGAAGTAAGCCATAGTGTATACTTCAAGGCCAGCCTTGATGTTGGAATCGATCCAGCAGCGCGAGCTTGTCGTCTGTAGACCTTGCAGGCTTACGCGGTAAAGCGCGCTTCCACAAACGCTGCGATGACCAACGCTGCATTCACTATGAGTGTGAGTAGCGCACACACCACATCGTGCAAACGGCCATGCGCGTTTCCATCACAACAACAGGCGACCTACAGATACTGGCTGCACACATGAGCCCATCGCCCGACCGCGCTCTTCAACCACGTCCCCTTATCTGCGCGATCAATCAATATCAACACCAGCCGACTTCGCAAGCGGCATCCAGAAGGCCAAAGATACCCAAAGCCGTACTACAGGACTGAGCGGGACCGCCCTGCACGAAACACGACCAAATACCCATGGCTATCTCATCAAAACAAACATATGGCCAGCTTTTGTCACGATCCCAGAAGAAGCGAATCGACACATGGATCAACAACCTACCGTACGACTGGCAATTAGACAGCGCGAACACAGCGCTTCTAGCTCCTGCGGCGGTATATGAAGATTGGCTTGATTGGGCAAAGCCCAGGGCCCTCTCATGGCTCGCCAGACTGGACAAATACGAAAGGCGGTTTCGAGTCGCTGGAATCGCCTACCACAAGGTTCCGTATGCGCTCCGACGCTCTATCGCTACTTGTAGCTCGAAAGCAGTCGATCAGACTGTGTGTGCACGGCTCAGCCAAATGTTCGAAATCGGCCGCGCGCGCTCTGAAGAACCGTTCTTCCACCCCTGGGACGAAATCTTCGACGCTGCCTACGCGGTATTGCAAAAATGGGTATTATCAAGAGGTACTGCCCCGGAGAATGTCGATCAACTTCGCGTACTGGAAGCTGAGTGTGAACTCACGCTTTCTCAATTGGCGAAACCACTCCGGAATCTCGAGGCTGGACTGGTATGGGTGGAAGAACAAGTAGCGAAGCTCGCCGAACGCTCCGATCTTGATGGAACTGAGGCGCTGGCCGCTAAGCACAGCCGCGAGGGCAACATGTTTCGGATGTGGGTACAAACCTTTTTGGAAATTGAGCATGGGGTGGTGAAGTCGAAGTCTGCGTATACGGAAGCTTTTGTCGATGGCGTGGTGGAAGACGAAGGAATTGCGAAGGACCCGTACTGGACTATGTTGGCGGTTACTGACGTCGAGGGTTGGTGAGACGGTGGGTGAACGAAGGTTAACACGCTGTGCCGACTACATGTATACTCTAGGGGTGGAACTTCACAGCGCTCACTGCTTTAGGTCTCTATATCACAAGATGTAATTTCATCCTATCATTTCATCCAGCCACTGCAACCAGAGCTAACCAGGGAGTACCAACCCAACGTATCAGTCGTACCGCCAATATGTGCCCAAACTGCGAACCCGTACCTCCAGAGCGAGCCGACGAGGAGGCCAAGAAAGCCCGCAACGGTATCCAAGAGATCATTGAACGCGCCGATAGTCTTCTCAATCTTTGCAACTCATTGGAAGATCGCTATAGAGAAGCCGGCGTCGCCTTCCACAAAACCCAGCGCGCTGCCCGCATCGCCTTGGAACTCAACGAGGATCTGGATGTAAGCCGTTACACAGCCCTCAACAACGCCTTCATTGTTCTAAGCTACGAAGAGATCTTCGCTCCTCTCATGGCTTTGGTTAAGAGTCTCACTGCGCTCCGCACAAAGGCACGACTCATCCCATCATCGACCGAGGCTCATAACCTCAAGTTTACGCTGGAGTTCACGCTGGTTCCTGCGATGAATGTACTGGTCTCGGACTACGAGACGTTCTCGAACAATCTGCGTAGCCTCGAACAAGATGTGCATGAACTGGATGTGTTCAGTAGGCAGCACTTCCAGTTCAACGAACGGGGCGAGCGTTGTGCTTGGTACGACCCCGTGTTGGATTTAACGAATGGCCAAAGGACTGTGCGGAGCCATCATAGGGAGTATGTGTTGTTCGCCGACTGGGTTTATAACTTACCCGAAGCGCGGCGGGCTATGGGGGTTCAACATAAGATCGACGGGCTACATGCATCTCGTACGCTCTTCGAGGATAGGCTGTTTGTTTATGCGATGGATTTGATTTGGCATGCGAATGAGGGGTATGTTGTTGAGGGTGCGGAGTAGCTGGCTTGTGCGTCACAGGATATGCACCACGATGGTAGACATGAACACTATCATTCAGTAGTCAATGCAAAAATAAGGCCGTACAGAATAGTAACGCTTTAGTGATGGATATTTGAAATGATCCACGGGCCTCCAATTTCGTCTTTGCTAACGTAAATGATAGCGAAACCCCTTTAACGATAGTACGACCGTACCGCGATCCGTTTGCCTTTCGAACCCCTCGGAGCTCGCGATCGTTCAATCGGCCGCCATGCTTCATCAACATCCTGAGGAACCAAGGGACGGGAAAGATATCTATCTCGACTAGAAAAGGGGACGTCTGATAGAACAAGGAACTGGAGCCGCTGGACATCCGAGCCGAGCTCGCAAGTCATCTTCGTTAGCAATCTGGCTGAGCGTGGCAATGTGCGTTGCCGTGCGACAATCTCGATGACCAAGCTCGTAGCATTAGCCCTTGGCATAATCCTCGTCGGTCCAATACTGTAGGAGTTTGCTCAGGTGGTGTGGCTTTACCCTCCCAACATCCTTCACTTTGACGTTCATCTCGATCGGGTATGTCTTACCAAATCGTATGCGCGTCTCTCGTCGTATCGCAATCGAAGAGTCGACCGCTTCAACTTCGATGGGGTCCTTCCACATCCCACTCTCGTACTCTCCAGGTAGATAACAGGAAGCTGGGTCTGTTCCAGAAAGGTAGAGGATCGCATGTTCGACCGGGTTGCAGCCATCTTTGAGGGTGCCACGACCAGAGTAAGTCCCAATACCGCTGGTTCAAGTTAGGTGGAATGTCTAGAACTTACCTAGGGGAACTTACCAAGCGTACACAAAGCCACGTTTAACCTCGACCACCACGAAGCGACGAATGTTGGTACGTTCCCTTTCGTTGAAGCGAACGACCGTGTATGCGTCGTCGTCTGGCTGCGTGCGGGAAACATCGCTGGCAGTTTCACAGTACAGCATAGCGAAAACTCTACCGAGTGCGAAGAAATCCCGGGCTTCAGTAGAAGTCCTCACACGGTAGCCTGAAAGGCATTAGATCAGTCAAGAAATGATGAGTCTAAAATATTCTTACTTGAATCCAGAAGATCGTACCATCCAGTGTGCGGCGTGCCTTGAATGAAGCCTCGCAACGCACGCACATCCTGTGGAGCTGTAAAATTCCCATCAGTGAAACGTATTCGACATGTTGGGCAACTGGGTCATACCTGGGTCAGGCATTTGGGCCACGTTTGAGCTGTCGCCGCATTGGTTGCCTGAGTCCATCCTGATACGGGACTGGCTCTGGCTTTGGCTTTCGCTCTGGCTTTGGTTTTGCTTGTAGAAGTGATAGAACACTTGGTCTATAAGGATCAGCGCCATGATATACTACTCAATGCTATCCCCAAAGGCGGTGGTACTTACTGTATTGGTCGACTGTAACATAGTAGTGGTCTTTGTGTGGCTCGCTCCAGATCCAGTAGGAGGTCGATACGTCCGAGTACGATGTGTTTGAATCGGTAACCTCTGCTGATAAGGACGTGGCTTGGGGGATGTTCTTTGACGATGACTCTGCTTGAGAGGTCTCCGTTACCGGCAACAGCGCTTGTGTACTTTGGGTTGTCTTGACGTCCACCTCCTGGTCGTAGCTTTCGCCAGACTCCATATACGCATCATCGACGCTCAGCAGACTCCATCCGCGTTTCGCAATATCTTTCAACATGCGTTCTGCTGAGACAATGTACGCTAGAGATCGTCGATCTGAAGCAGCAACAACCATACCGCAAAGCTCTTTGCTGGCCGTATCGAGTACCAGAGACCCACTGTCACCATACTCGATTGTTCCTTCGTAAGCAAAAGCGAATACGGGCTGGAACGATCTGCTGCCCGATAAACGCATCAATGTTGGTACACTGGTCAGTGTACCATGTATTGGACCGTGAGTCGTCCATGCTGTAGCCTGCGACGGCTTGGGTGCGGCTGCCGATGCTCTTGCGCTTTGCATTCCTTCAGAAACACTAAAATGCTCCAGCTGTTGAACGAGTTCAGTGTTTTCGATGGCGATGATCGCGTAGTCTATAGACAACTCAGACTCCTCAGGAGCTAGATGTCCAAGTAAGGCAAGATTAGGTGGCGGAATGCTTGTTGCCTCGGAAGAATCGCTTGGCATCTTAGACCTATTGAGTCTCGACAATTTAGTTTCCTGGTGGTCTGGGATTTGTGATTCTGTTGCTTTTGTTGGATTCGAGATCGGGCTTCCAGTACATAACTGCTTTGCTTCAGAATTGTCTTCATCGTCGCTATCACTATCGAATGGCACACCGAGATCCTCTTCACCATTATCGATCGAAGGAGGAGCGTGACGCAAAGAACTGAAAATATGGGCGGCAGTGATATACCCGTATGTAGAACCGTTATGAACGACATTGGCTGTTCCCATTCTTGACTGGTTGTCTGTTGTCTTGACGTATAGTGGCATGCCTGTTATGCGCAGCCGTTGTTTGGGATCGTAGTAAGCGGGTAAGGGGAGAGGTGTAGCCGACTGATGAGATAGAGCTGGTTTCGCCGTTTCCCAAGTGTCTGAATCCCATCCTCCAGATTCTGATGTAGAATCCCAACTTGCTTCGCTAGGTAATCCGGCGATAGGGTGAATGGGACCTGATGGAAGGTACTTGAGAACACCAAGCTCGAAGTCCAGATCTGCCAAAATACCGCTCCTAGTAATAGCCTTTTTGGCTTCCTGGCGTGATCGTTGGTCCTGACTGGAAATTATGATCACAGGCTTTGCCTTTCGTGGCGTCTTCCCTATCATGAACAGTGACACACCAACTTCGCAGAAAGACTCTCGTCGAGACTGGTCTAGCTCTTTCAGGAGCTTGGTCTCTACTTCTTTGTAATCTTGGGCGCACTTCCCCTTGGACTCCCAGCAGAAATGATCTTGGTTCCACTCGGGATTTGCCTTTTGATCCACACAAACTGGGTGGTATATGTCTACCGAGTCTTCGTAGTTCACCCGAGTTCGCTGAAGCAGTCTGTCACCTAGCACTTTCAGATCAAAACGAGTCTTTTCAGATACGATAGCTCTGATGTGATACTGCTCCATAGCCACAAGACCAGCCTCCTGATACACCTCTTCGACCCGGGTAGTAGTTGACATGTACTATCGTTGTGCTAAAGCGTCTCGAATGAAGTTGAACATGCAGATAATAATTGCAAGGAAGTGCGGTGGGGGGACTGAGCGAAGCTCTCGCAAGATCTTTCGAAAAAGTATGGAAGCTGCGAAGTGGCTGTACTTCAGCCCGACCCCGCACTGCCTGCTTTCCGGTGAGTGATGCACCCGCGCCGACGAATCATCGAATTAGGGCTCAGCCCTCAACAACGCCATGCTGTTATCTCGAAATTCCATAGCTCCTAGAAAAGGATGGCCACGTTTTTATAGCTATAAGCAGGTAACGCATGCAATACAGCCAATGAATGCTACCGGAATTCTTCCTGTCTCAATCATCATCTTACCATGGCACTATCGGGAAAGGCCAACGAGGATCCTGTACAGACTCATTGTAAGCGCGAGATCTTGGGAGCCTTCTGGCCCCAAAATACCTCTCCTGCACTAGCAGTGAGAGAATCTCGAGAACACTGTCCGTGGAATGCGTATTTCCAACACTACACTGCAGAATGCCGGAAGACCATTGAACCTGATGGCGGGAAGCATGCGACTGTTCGGCAACATCAGGACATTATACCAATTATCCGACAACTCGAAGAAGGGCGTACGAAAGAAACGATCAAGCTATCGCTCGCGGCACTAGTCACCCAGAAAAGAAGTGAAACGGACAAGCAACACATGGCAGAAGGATCAATCCGGCTAGCAGTACGCTTGTTCTTGATGGTAGATGTGGGAGCTCCATCAAAGTACCGGACATGGGGTCCCAGTTTCCTGCCCTGGAGCGACGAACAAACCGTGAAAGCCGTTCTCACAAACCATTTCGTCATCAGTTCAACGGAAGGTCAGGATACCATGTTTAAAGAAGAATTCACGGCGTTTAACCTCCAGCGGTTCACGGGGCTAGAAATACAGTGGACCAATAATCTAGCTGATCACTTGCGGCTGATCGACAATGACCGGAGGCTCTACATCTTCCACCATGCAACCTTCCTCCAACATCAAACCAGGCATGTTTCCAAATATTATCCCACGTATGTCACTAATTGTTCCAGCGACCTGTTCCCAGACAACTTCATCGATGAAACGCTCCGGACATTAGACTTATTGTTTCCACGACAAGACGCTGAGTCGCAAAGATGGTTGAGGGCTCAACATTCGCAAGGCGAAGACGTCATACACCCAGACCTTGCCCTACTCGATCGAAACACAATGTTCTCGACTGATCGCCGTGCTGCAAATTTCATGTACTGGCGCGACGAACTGATCAGCTTGAAAGAAAGATTCGATCAACCAAAGCCTACTTCCATCTCGCAATTCTGGTACGATAGAAGGAACAGAACTCAGTGGTATACATTCTGGATTGCGGTTACTGTGCTTTGCCTTACGGTCTTTTTCGGTCTTGTGCAAAGCATTGAAGGAGCTCTACAGGTGTATAAAGCGTACCATCCAGTCCCAAACTAGACAACGCATGGCAGCTTGAAGAATGAATGGCATGCAGTACTCGTGTGCAGACAGCTCCTGGACATATGTGATTGGTGGAATTGCTGGTGTTGGAATCATCTTTGATATACGTGTAGCCAGGCCCCGAGGCGATTGAGTCGTGAAACCAGCGAGGAGAATAAGACGTGTGGTTGTATGGCAATGAGACAGGTCATTTCGTGGGTCTAGTGAGGAAGCAGGAGACAGGTTGCGCAGGTAGAATCTTGTTCGTATCCTTTGGCACGTCTGAGAGCGTGTAACCGTGGAAGCAGAGCGTAGTGGGTGCCACAATGCTCTCGATGCCAATGGCAGTCACGTCGTTCTTGCAGGCATATAGGTGGGGTCTGATGCCCAAGGCCGAACGTACTATGCCCGGAACTATACGTGTCCGCATTGCCAAACAGATCCATGGCGGTGACACCTCATACAAGGAAAAAACTTGAACAGGCCTGCGGAATACATTGAGACGAAGACCTGTAAAGTGGGTGGCCTAACGTTAACGTAGGCTCCAGAGTGTTTAGTTTTTCTCTAGGTTGGCGTGGTGAAACCTTCGATGACGTGCGCCCAATGTAGATTCATTGCCTAAGTTTGGCCATGCTAATCTCCATATCCCTGTGTGGTATACGTGTACGCGAGCTCGGCCGCGGTAGGATAGCGCTTGCGAATGCGATAGAAGAGGATTCGACGTGTATAGTCCCAACTTGGGCCGACAGGGAACTCGATCTACAATCTTGTCAGTCAATACCCATCACAGGAGATCAGACATAACATACCAGCCTGACCTTGTAGTCATTGGATTCCTGAAATTGTGCGGCAACGAGAGTTGGGTGGGGTCTCATATCGAGGCACCTTCTCCATGTTCAGTCTGGCTGTGTGCAACGCGCGCATCTCGAGAACCTCCAACTGGCATCTGGGAGCGACAGTGCCATCTTGTTCGTAGCGTGGACCGTCCTGGCGAGCGATGACTTCGTAGCATAGGAACGGCTACGCCAGGCCGGTGGACGACTCGCGGGCGACGATGCAGGCGGATTTCAGAGAACGAACCATAGCGTCATGGCAAGTCAGTCCGCCAAGACCTAGAGACGGTGGACGGATTTGCGCTTCGGTAGAGGAATTTGCGCTTCAGCTCTGATCAGTCGCGTGTCTTCTGGGTGTTGGTGACGCGTTGTGCAGAGTACACGAGACTCGCGCCCTAGGGTCCTTGGCGTTCGCGGTCACACGAGGCCCGGCTGCATAGGTCGGCGCGCGGAAAGTGGGCCTCCTGGGCAGTAATCCGTCGCACTAAACACTCAAATCACAAACTCCACCCTCTCTTACACAGTAGAGCCTAATATGCAACAAACGCTTAGAAGCTCAGTGTCTTCTTTTGAGCTGCGACATGTAGTCAATATCAACTCATACACATGCAGATCGCACCAATCGAGACCTATCAAACAAGGCACATGGCCAGCAAGATCGCGAAATACTCAGTCCAAGTGCAGTCCAGTCCGTTAAGCGTTTATGTCAATCGAACGATACTTTTCAATTTGATCAAATCGATATTGTTCATCTGCTAGATCTGTACCTGCTTGACGGCCTGTTGGCTGCGTTGCTGCCGAATGCGATCGGATGACGCACCACCACCAAGACTATTGTGGTGCCTGCTATCTACGCCACCTCGCTCTCCGCAAACTTTTCACTCGCCAAACACACAATTATCGACAAGTAAAAAACATTTATCAGGTACCAGAAGCAGGATAGATGCTAGGCATACACTCCTATTTCTGTTAAGAACGCTTTTGATAATCCCACGCATTGCCCGTCAAGATCAGCCCGTATAAATCTGTACCAAAAGTGTAAATATGCTTATGTTCTTGTATTGACAGTACCCATTGATCAAGAGTATCTATTCTATAGGTACATGTGTATCTTGGAAGTAGGAAGTCCCTCGTCTGCTTCGCGTCACCGCAGTACCATTAGATGGATTGGAAGAGCCAAAGAATTTCATCGCATACGGATATCAATCAGAAGGGAGAATCATATGGATACTCATCTTGAGCGGCCACGTTAGTTTCGTTGCTAGACTGCTGAGTTTTGACGTCGTTTGCCGAGTGCCAATAGCCAAGCAAGATCGGCAACCAGTCTTGGTGTACTGAACCAATGTCTTTGACTTTGACGTTGTATTGGACCGGATAGTGAATTCCAAAGCAAACTCTCGATGCTATCGCGAGAGGCTTCTCGCTTTTCGTCATAACAATGCAAATAGGGTCTTTGGTGAGGTTGGCCTCGTCTGGTAGTAATTGAGGACTGTATCCGTCTGAGTAAGCGATAGCGTGATCATCCGGAGAGACGCCAGGCTTCTTCGTCCCTTGATCCTCGTAGGTGAATATGGGCCTTCCAACGTTAGCAGTACAAGATAATGGGGAGAATGCGACTTACACAGCGTATTATGGTGGAATGTTGATGCAGAGCAGGGCAACAAAACGCGGTCTAGTAACTCTATATAGTGATCTCAATGTAGGTGTATTTCCCAAACACCTTATATTCGCTGTAATGCAGCAGTAGGTCTTACACAGCGTAACAAAACTCCTTTTTGCGTTCAACCGCAATAAATATCCGTACCTGCATGTGTACGAGCTCGTGGCTTTTGGAAATCGTGAATCTGCTTTTCCAATCTGTCACGGTGTTTGCACTTCCACCAGCTGCTTCACTGAACAGCACTGCAAAAACCTGACTTCGTTAGACATCGCCTTGTCTGCGGAGAATGATACATACCCTCCCCTTTGTGAAGAACTCTCCATTTCTGACGTAGAACGCTTAAAGTAGTTAGCTCTCTGATGTAGGGTGATTTTCACAGATGACTTACAAGGATCAAGGTGTTCGTAATGACTGCTAGACGATGGATATCTTGGGTCGTAAGAACCGGAGACCTGTTTACCTTCGCGAGTACTAGCTCGTCCGGTCAAAGAGTTAAAGAGCATAGTCGTTAGACCCTTTGATAGATCCGAGTAGAATTGGTCAACAGGCTCGGGTTCGGATTTGGGTTTGGGTTCGGGATCGAGTTGGAGTTGGGCTTGAGATCTCCATTGAAGTTGGGGCTGGGGTTGAGACTGGTATTTGTGTTGTACTTCGTATTGAAGGTGGGGCTGAAGTTGGTATTGAAGCTGGGGTCGGGCCTGCAGCTGAACAGGGGGCGCAGTATGTAGAGGAACCCAGTCGAAGAACACCCAGCTTTGGCCTAATGACAATTAGCCTATTTGTGTGCTTCCTAAGCCAACGCCTTACCATCATAGTGGTTCCAAAACCATCTCTGGTACTGTTCATGGAACTGTACATGAAGATACCTCTGGAAGTGCGGATTCCATGCAGGTTGTGACGTATATGGATCTGATTGCGGTGGCAATACCTGCTGTGGCTGTGAAATTTGTAGTTGAGAAGCTTTCGCTTGGGCGTTATGTGTTGGTTGCTGAGTTTGAGGCTGTGGTTGTAGAGCCAGTGACTGGGGAGGTTGCAGTTGTGAAGCTTGTGGCTGTAGTCCTGGTGATGCCGGCGATTCTAATTCTGGTGATTCTAGAACTAGTGAATCTGGAGTTGATGGTCCTGAACTTGACGATTCTAGAGTTGAGATTACTAGAGGTGGGGGTTCTGGAGTTGGGGGTTCTGTAGCTGGTGATTCTGGAGCCGGTGATTCTGGAGCAGGAGGTCCTGGAGTTGATGGCTGTAACTGCAGTGGCTGCACTTGGTCCTTGGTTAAATGGCATTGTAAGCACGACAAGCTATCATGGGAACAGATTTCTGTTGTGATCTTTGCTGAATTAGGACGACTCTTCGCTTCCCTTGCTGTTATTGCGATGATGATCTCCTGAAGACATGAAAGGTTTGATGGAATTCCTGCGGAAGGAAGAAGAGTATGAAGCGCATCTATAATGCCTGAGTAGCTCTTAGCCTTTAAGTCCTTATGTTCTGTCAAGCTACATAAGCGTAGAAGTACCTTAACAAAGACGCAACCTAGAGAGAATACATCTGCAGCAAAGTTTCTCTTCTCGTACTCTAGTACCTTAGGCGCAGAGTATTTTCTTGTTAGGAAGTTAGGTCGTCCTTCTGTTGTACATTCCCGCTCTTTTAGGGTGTCTTTCGATGCGCCGAAGTTAGTGTAGACAACGACACCTTTGTGAATCAAGATATTCGCCGGCTTAATATCTTTATGATGGATACCTATTTCGTGCATATATGCGAGACCACTTGACAAGCATCTAAAGGTCTCCTCCAGGATAGTAGTTATCCTAGCTATAACGGACGGCGCTGTCGTGGAATCATCGAGTGCATCGACGTAGTCTTCGAGGAATTGTTTCAAATCGCCTTGGTCTGCAGCTGGAGATAGAATTAAGCTACCTGATTGGGGTGTTATATATGTAGCAAATAGCTTAATTATGTGGGGATGAGCTTTGAGCTTCCGAATGATTGCAACCTTATTGTAATATTGTCCTTTCGCCTGATCTCTGCCTTTGGCCTTATTGTGAGGAAACTGAATTACTTTTCTTGCAAAGATTGCTTTCGTAATTCTGTGTTGCACCTTTTCAACAACGGCATCTCCGCCTCTACCGAGCACCGCCTTGCATTCTAAGGTAAGACGCTCTACATTTTCGATTATGTATTCACCGTGCTTTTCGACACAGATATCACCGCTTCGCGAGACGGTTTCGAGCGATTCCTTGAGCGTAGGGCCGTTGTCGATCGCACTCAGGTTGTTTTCCATCGTGGACGTAAGACCGGAGTATATTATGGCACTACTACGAAGTCAGCGTTGTCACAAGGCTGCGTTACGGGGGTAGGTGAACAAGCCTTTCATTCATTCATCGGTGTGGCCCTGGATTGCGGGGGGCTGCCAGCGCAGATCCGTTGTCGCGTTGGTACACAGCTCTTCATGTGCAATAGTGACGGTACACGCCCCAGAGGTTGGTGGTCAAAGGACGCCGTGGTTGCCGATGCGAGAGAAGAAGTTTGGAGCAAGTAGGCTGCGCTTGACGCGGGGCCAATACCGGTGAGCTTGTAGTGCATATAGTGGCGTGGTCCTGAAGCAACATCATTGGTGTTTACTGAACGGTCGCTGTGCCACACTTCACAGCCTCAATGGCACAAGTCCGCCAATGGAAGAGATGCATATCCGAGTAGCGAACAAGAGGTACCAATCTGGTATGGCTGCGCCATGCATGTGGCTCTGTCCTTATCATGAACCACACCAACGCTTCGCAAATGAACGTAATGCACTCGGTGTTGTGTAAGGCGCCTGATGAAGACCTTGCTCATATGGCATATACGCAAGACGAACATGAGTGCAAGAGGAGATGGTGGAAGTATTAATAAAGATGTTATTCGCACATAGCTGTTACTAGTGAAAACGTCATTCAAAGCGGCGTATATGAGCAAAAGCAGCGTATATGAGCAGAAACAACCTCGACTAACCGAAATATCGTGTGCTTAAAAGGTCAACAATAGACACAAAGTGATACCAGCGAAATCGTTATGAGAAGAATACAAAAGCAAAACGTATCTTGATCAAATTGAGAAAGAAGCTGTCGATCTCTCGAGACGTTGCGCATCAAAAATTGTCCGTGTTGTTTGGGTTTTGTGCCGCATCAGGGTCGTCCTTTGAATCAGTGTTCTCCTGATTCCAGTAGCCAAGGAAAGTGGGAAGATAATCTGGATGCACGTGGCCGAGATTTTTCACCTTGACGTTGTACTGAATCGGGTGGTGGATGGCGAAGTAGATTCTGGAGGCCGCGACCAGCGCCCTGTTGTTTTCTTCCATTACAATAGGGATGGGAGCCTTCCGGAGCGGCGATTCACCCTGTACAAGCTGTGGTTGCTGTCCTAGCGAATAGGCAATAGCATGCTCGTTAGGACGTACTCCATGCTTCGTGGTGGCTTGGCCGTAATAGGTGAATATTGGACTGCCGAGTATTAGCCATGTCACAGTCTAGAACGTATATAGGATCGCGTACACAGCGAAGCAGAACTCTGGTTTACGTTTAACGACGATGAACCTGCGTACTTGGGTATGTACAGTTTCACCAAATCTGACCCTTGACAGGCTGGTATTGTTGGACAAGTTGGTATTGTAGTCGGCCATGGGATTCAGCCCGTTCAGGGCGTTGGCACCCGCTGGCTCAGTGAAGAGAATCGAAAAGACCTGGTTAATTGTCAGCAATCTTTGTCTCGCCCTGTATGTCTACTACTAACCTTCCCTTCTTCGAAGAAAGCACTACCTTTGACGTGGAAAGCTACAACAAGTTAGTACCTTGCACATGTAGCGTTGGTTGGAGTCTAACATGGATCAAGTGTTTCATAGTGGCTGCTGGAATGCGGATTCGTTGGACTGTATGTCGCGTATACCGTTGAGCCTCGTCCATAACCAGCAGGCCCACCTCCAGATGCTGTGACTGTCTGTACAGAGTCATTGCGCATATGCGGCTGGTACTGATTTTGAGGCTGGGCCTGTGGAACCTCTTGCGTCAAGGGCAGCCAGTCAAAAAACACCCAGCCTTGGCCTATTTCCGGTTAGCCTATACACGTGCGGCATGACAGGGCACGGCCACGGGCCTTCAACGTAGTGCTGCCAGTAATAGCGTTCATGCTGTGCATTCCATAGAGTGATTAGGTATCTCTGGAAGTGGGCGCTCCATTCAGACTGTGGTTGTGGTTGTGCTGGTTCCATGCCGTGAGTGGTGCCACATAATCTGCGCGGCAGCTGAAGGGGACAACGGGTACAACTGCGCTGTACGTCTTTATGTAGGTATGGCCAGATGACTGGATGGCGCAGAGCCGCATACTAACAAATGCGACCACGCAGAGTCGTCTATAGTAATAGACATGATGCCGACGCGACCCTCCTACAGATGGCGATAGAGTGAAAGGTGCAGATGCGTTGGCGCGTGAGCCGGGCTGTCACAGGCTGGAGATGGCCCATGTGCCCGCGCCAAGGAAAATTAGCACCAGCTGCGCAGTGACTAGCACGCTTCTGCATCCGCCCCCGAACGCTGCTTTTACATGGTTATCGTCAGTGCATGAGACCTTCGTGCCACATTCCAATACCCGTCACCCCGGGACGACCAGGGACTGTCCATGCGGATCAACAAGTGTGCACGGGCGTCGGCTAGATTAGAAACGGATAATACGTTTGCCACTGCCGCTGCATCTTACTGCCCGGCATGCTTCACTCCAGCCTAGTTTCGCTCCCGAGCATACTCACGAACATCTCATGTCTCTCCGGGGATGCAGTGCGAAACACGACCCACTGGTGAGTATGATATCATTGCTCCCGCCTGATATCGTTCTCCGGTATTCTAATGACGCGTGATCGTTCTGACGAGCGTAGCATATATCATTGAGAATGCAACGTCTGAGGAACGGACCGGGTCACCGGATCCTCCAGGTCTTGTACGTCCAACGCGCGCAGCGGTAGCGCCAAACGGGATTGAACTTCGTCATGAGCTTCGTCGCTCTTCCAGTCCTCAGGCCATCGAACAGCGTAGCAATCACAATGATGATCGGAAGGACATCACTCAGGCTCGTGCGCCAATACCACCCGTCGCAATCTATCCTCCTCCTCCACCGCCACCGATCTCAATCGCCGAGATGAACGTCCCTCCACCTCCTCCAATACCCACACTGAGTAGTCCGCATTCGAATCTCATTCCAAGAGAACCACGGAGTGCGACATCGGACAAGCTTGATGACGAGCAGCAATCGTTGCGGGATCTCCGTGATACACTTGTAGGCGCACGTTTCACTATAGCTGCGAAGCGCCAGGAACTCCGCGATCTTCAAATAGAGACAAGTGCGAAGGACGGCTTTGTTTTCAACCTATTACGACAGTATCTCAATAAGATAGGTGTCGAGGTGCCATTGAACATTGAAGAGGCGTTCGTTGACGCCTCTTCACTAAGAGACAGATTGGGTCTCCTAGAAGCCGAGTACGACGAAGCTGAAGCCGGTTACAATACCTTAGAGTGGAAGTACTCTCGCAGGGAGACAAGGTTCGTTGAAGAAGTTTTGGATAACAAGCTTGTACCAAGCGAAGCACTGGATCGGAGCAGGAGTGCAGAGAATCTGGAAATCTTGCAGTTGACTCATTCCATGACAGGTAGTAGTAGCGCACATCCAACGATAGCGTATCCTGCAGATTATGGTGATCACAGCGGTGTCAGCCATGATACGCAGCTATCCAGATCTCTATCAGAACAGGCTATAGTATCTACACACAGAGCAAGTGCAAAATCCCATCAATTCCGTTTCCAACGGAGTAACTTGAACGATTCCCATGAGACACACAGCCATTTACGTTGGGTGGAGAAGATGAACACGATCGATGAGTGGCTGTTCGAGATCGTTGACACTTCGCGTCTCCAGAAGTTGTCTTTGAAAGCGACGCACGACTTTGGATTTACAGATACCGAACTCTGGTGGGATCACACAAAATGGCTTTTGATTCAAGACTATTCGACATACTTCCACACTGGGGACTCTACGGTTTCCGACTATACTACTGGCGACCGTGTCATAAATTCTACCAAAGACGCGGTGAGCTCAAGGTCCACTGTCCCTGAACCTCGCAGCTCAAGTCAAATACTCCTTGGTATTCACCCATCAGATGTATTTGACACTGCCAATTTGCCAAGTGCTATTGATTCAAAAGACGGCAATGAGACAGACGAACAAGAGCGAACACTCAGCGAGCGATCGGCCGATACAAGAGAGGAAGTTACGAGTTCGTCATGTAATCCTTATTCGACTCGATGTCGCACATCCCAAACAAGCATTATGACCGACTACGATGGGAATCGAAACCATAACAATCACTGTGATGTCTCGCTATCAATCACAGTGGGCGCCTTTCATCAAACGGAACCAAAGAGCTGGAATACAGGACCAACCTCCTTACGACGGGGTGACGCGGTTCCAAGACGTCGCACCGTACCCGACATCGAGAGAGCCGAGCCTGTGGAAGCTCCGGTTCAAAGCAGGAGTTCCAAGATCCCTTCATTTTCGCCACACAACTTCCCATCACCTGCTGTCCACTCAAACAGTGAAAAGCTTCATCGAAGACATTCTAGCCAGGCTGACAGCCGGCATCGCAAGTACTCGGCATCAATACGACCTTCCGAAGCAACCACTCCGCACCCTGAGCCGCCAAACACCGCTCAGATATCAACAAAAGAACGCTGTCTTGTCATGTAGTATGCAGTGGGCATGAAGAATGTGTTCACTTTCCGTTCACTCAAACCACTTCGTTTCAGCTCGTATTTCTCATGATACCCTGTATAACTATATAAAAGAGCTCTTTATCGCATAGCAACACAGCCTTTTATCAGCTTTCTCCTTTGTTTCGATGTACATATATAGCACACCTCTCTTCAGAAGCCGGGGTCAAATCAGGAGTCTGTTCGACGGGCTTTTTAGGCTATGTCTATCCGCAGGAACTCTCATACAGTGCCAGTAAGCCTACTCTCATTTTTTTACAAATAGAAAGTCGTTTCCAAACCAATGTCTTCTTAGAAAGGATATCCATTTCATGCTGACACGTTGACCATTGGGAGCCAACAGCACCCGTCGACGAAAGACCACGCCACTGAGCGAACCCCTTAGCCCATCTAAACCCCGCGCAATGGGTGCCTAGGGGCTCAGTCGAGGAAGTCAGTACCGCGCAGCCCTCACTAGAACTGCGCAATTGCAATCATAGCCAATAGGTTGTATGCAAGTCTCTGACAGGCAGCACCCAGCCGGGTCACCTAGGCATACCGCAGCTCTGACGTACCGATTCAACGCATAGGCTTCCGCCACGCGTCACTATTATGAGTAAACAGCGCCGCTTTGACAGGATCATGCGCATGAGAGTGATTTGCAGTCTGCAGCACACAATGTCTTATCGTCCGCGCAAAGGCTACAGTCATACCCCGCACCCGCAACCCTCATATCCAGCAAATCGCTGCAGCAACCTTGCATTCCATCGACATAGAAAACAGCGAAAGCGGTACACAGGCAGGCTCGATGAGCTCATCAGGACGGACGATGGACGAGGGACATTAGCCAGGTTCCGCAAACGTCACTTATCTTACGGCAGCAGGCAATCAAGCAAGGACCGGCAGGCTCGACAGGGCGATGAGACTCTGAGCCGTGAATAAATAAATCCAATTAGCTGCACGGGGGCTACTTGCAGCCGAGCCGGACACCCTCAGACTTGCACATGCCTAATTTGCGCCTCAGCTCCGGCATGCCGTAGTTACCTCAAGTACTTCTTCTTTTCGTAGCTACGAGGTTGAAATAGAGTTATACCGAAAATACGGACGAGAGCCGATCTTATTTAGCGCTTTCTGTTCCATAAACGTCCTTCAGTGCTTGAGAATTCCGGTGAAGTTGTTCTGGTGGGACGCATTCCGGTAGGGGCAACAGCCGAGACCCAGCGCGCGCGGAAGGAGCGTCCCGCGCTCGCACCCGGCCGATGCAGCCCCGTTGCACCGCTGCCTGAGAGCTAAGTGATGACCACCTGTCGTTTCGCTATCGCGATCGGTGGGGGTTGGAAAGTAGCAAACACGAACGGACGCGTATGCGGCATAGGAAGAAAGGGAGTTATTCCGAAGCTGCGCATGCAGCGCATCCAACTGTTGTGATGTGGCCCCACACAACCAATCAAGCTCCCCTTCCGGCAGCTGTGTTCTCCTATAATGTATCATGTGGCTTCGTTAATGGCGTTTTGCCTCTTATTAGGCAACCCCGGGCAATGTCTGTTACATTCCTTGCATGCGAGTACTTTGAGCAAACTTCCAAGCTTATCACAGCTGTAGCCAGGATGTGTCACTTGAGATGTCTGAACGGCGTGACTCTCCACTATAGCGACAAGACAACGATGCTGAGGATTGCCTACAGCTTGTCGTTCATCGACTGTCGGCCCACCTCATACAAGGGAAAACTGAACACCTAGGAGCCTACGTCGCCGTTAGGCTACGAACTTCGCAAGCTTTTATCTTGATGTAGGCTCCAGGGTGTTCGGTTTTCCCTTTGAATGGGGTGGGTTTTCTGAAATGCAGCCTTGTGGGCCTGATGTGACGACCGGTATGCAATGACGGGGCGATATCTGACTTGTCCAACCAGATAGTGACCCACAAGCCACGTTGCGAATGCTTACGGGTACCTCTTGTCCGACAACCCCTCCGCTGCCGAACTTCAAGCCATCGCGACAGGAGACCGTAAGTCACTCCAGCTCACTTGCGAAAGTCTTCAACGTACAGAAGAATCTAGTCACCCAGATGGCTCTGCATCATGACGCCTGTCAAGTCGCCACTGCCCAGGCCGTCGCCGCTGCCCAGGCCGTCGCCGCTGCTCAGGCCGTCGCTGTACAAAGCCTTCCAGCACCCCCGTCAACTTAGACTTGACCCCGCACGAAGCCGTCTCTGCTAGGAAGTGATGAAGGAATCTGGTGACAGGGCGAACAAAGCCGCCACAAACAATGCAAATCCTCGATCTTGTCTCGTGTCTTCTTATGATTGTGATGATTGTGACGAGTGTAGCGATTCGACAGTGTTGTTCATGTTCTTGCGGTGAAACACCGCAATGGCGTCGGTGGCGATTTCCCGATGGATGTGAAGGGCATTGTCGGCCAGCCCATACGCGAGCCGTCAAGAGCAAGTCTTCCTACTTCATGCTGCTCGGGTGATTTATACCGACGCGTCGCAGTCAAGGATACTCCAGGACCACTCCCGCACGACAGCCAAAGAGACCGAAGCACAACCGCCCGTGGCAGTTGATCTCGATAGAGGAGCCGTTACGATTGCTGAAGCTTCCATGATGCAGCGAAGCGAGTCCTTGGGGATTCTATCAATGGCAGATGGCGGCGACATGATACATGTGGACGCGGTATTGGGTCGTGAGTGCTGCCTGACGGCTATCGTATCGTTTTAAATCTTGACGCGGGCGACACCTAGATCCGACTGCGGACAATGGCGATGACGATGAATGCACGCTTGGACGCGCCATTGAGGCCCAAATATATTCCCTCCATCCGCTCCTAGTGCCGGATTACGAGAAGAAGGAGGAGAACGCCACCCGGCGGCAGGGAAAAGCGTTGAAGAAGGCGGCAAAGGGTAAAGGCAAAGCAAAGGCCCCGACTGGGGACGACGAGTACGACCCAGAGGGGCCTGCCTGGAATCCCGAGAACGATGTCGACGAAGGGTACGAGGAGAACAAAGCCGCGACAGAAGCGATCAGCGCCAGAGTTCTAAACTCATTCATTCACGAGGAACACGATTCGTCGTCGGAACTGAGACTTAAGTGGTTGGCGAGACTTGGAAGTTGGTCAGAGGAGCAAGCCTCCGAATCTAAACATGTCACGGCTATGGTCGACATGCTCTACAACCTCATCAAGAAGCGACCAGAAGACAAAATCATCGTCTTCTCACAGTATCTCAGATACCTCGGCATCATCAACAAGGAATTACGCATGCGGCACAATGTTGAATGTCTTCGATCCGATGGCGCCGTGTTACCGAAGCACCGAACAGCCATCGAGAAGAAGTTCTTGGAAAACCCCGAGTGCCTGATTCTACTCATCACCGCAGGGTGCGGTAGCGTCGGTCTCAATCTCACAGCCGGCAACATCGCCGATTTGTGCGGGGAATGGTGGAATGTCTCGAACGAGAGGCAGGCCATGTGCAGGGCCTTCAGGCAGGGTCAAAAAAAGATCGTCATGGTCATTAGGCCTTTCGTCGTCAACTCGGCTATCGACAGGGAGATTGCCAAGAGGCGCATGGCCAGGTTGGATGTCAACAACGACTTGACCAAAGCGTTGATGCACAATCATTGCTTGACGATATCCTTCTTGAGGATGGCACATGCTTGGTCGTATGTTGTCGGCATAGGATTGGGCTTCGTGCGGGTCGCCTTGAGGCTCATAGCGGCGGCCTCGTCGACAGCATCCTGGACCCAAGGCTCGCAGACACTGATGGGGACGTTTCCGCCTGAGAGCTCAAGCTCCTCCAGGGTCCTCTTCATACGAAAGCCGGCTTTGAAGCCGATGTCGCGACCGATCCGCTCGCCGTCTGCGAAGGCAGTGTTGCAGAAGGTAACCATCGTGGAATCGATATCGTCGTACTTCGCGTCGACGAGCTTATAGATCTGCTCACGGAGTTCCGACTCGTGGGCTTTGTGCGGTTGGAGGCGCTTATCGACTTCAGTACTCACTCGGCGCTCAATCTCGATCTCTGCCCGCTCGTGCATGAACTCGTTGTACGAAAACTTCTGATCGGCGAAGCGCTTCATCTTCTCAAGTGTCTCGTTGCATATCCGCTCAATCGCGCCGCGTTCATGCGCTCGAGCCGCGTCATCCCTCCGGTCAAAGCTCAGGTGTGTATCAGCAACGTCGTCCTTGTGCGTTTGAACCAGGTGGGCGGCGGCCGCGTGTTGCAACCTCGCCAACTCGCGGGCCTGGTCTGCTTTCTCATAAGAAAAAAGCGTCACATCGATATTGTAGCCCTTTCCTTGGAGCAGGTGGGCAAGCCAAAGGTTGTCGTTGGCGGCTGACTTGAGGTCGGTGATGGCTTTGTCCTTGTCACTCTGGAGGCTAGCAACATCGGCCCGTATGGCTTTGTTCTCTGGAGTCAAAGTCAGTAACAAGGGACCACCAAGGGTAGAGCTCGAAATCGGACAAAGTCACATGATACATGGAGAATCCGAACAGGCCTGGAGCCGACATTGGAACAGCGATACGCAATTATGAAGATGCTGAGTTGATGTAAGCATCAAAGTATTTATTATTGTTCAAGGAAATCCCTAGTCTGTAGTTTACATCAGAACAAAACGTTGCAAAGTATAAGATTTGGTATTGATGTGGGCTCCAGGGTACCTCGAAAATAATAATAATTATGCCAGAACTCACAATAAAACTTTGGTCTGCAGCCTACATCGAAATGAAAAGCCGCAAAGTAGAGGGTCTAGCATTGACGTAGGCCCCACGGTATCCGGCACTGTCGGAAAATGAGGTGATTATCCTTTGCCGCCCGTTCAGGGCGTCGCATCTCGTCCCGACATCAGCGAGCGTTGCGGACTCATTGCGGATGGTCTTGAGGAAGAATGCGCCAAACGTAATGGACATGTCATATCGTCCGACCTTGTACTGCAGAAGGGCGAGCTCGTGGTTGAGGTCGTTGTAGACGCCTTGCATGACGGAGGTCGACAGGTCGATTGACCGCCAGTTGGCTTGGGCAAGCAACTTCGTCCAAATGCGTGTCATCGACTGGGAAACCGGACCGCCCAAGTCGAACAAGCAGGAGAGGCTCTTCCGTGTGATTGGGGTCAATGGCAGCCCTCCCCATGAACCACCACAGGTAGCTTGGTGCGCTGTAAGTCAATTCACTTCCCTCTTCGATAAGTAGCTGACCCGTGTTGCCAGCCTGTTACCGCCGTCGAGGGCGACCCGAGACGCACCAAGTTACTACCTTGCGAGAACACATGGCGACTTCCCGCAAGTTCAACTCGCACGTCGAAACCACCGCCGCCGCCAGACAGCTCGCCAACGGCGTCACCCACTGCAGTAAGGCCTAGAAGATCTGGATGCCGATCATCTTGTAGTACTGGATAGTCAGCACAAAGGCTGCGCCGGTCGCGATTCTCTTCCAGACGACGGCTCCCTGATCGGCTCGCTCGTCAAGATCGACAGTGTCGAAATGCGCCACGACCGTTACGGCATGTAAACAAGACATAATGTTGTAACCTACACAAGCAGTTGAGCAATGTTGAGGATAGGTTTGATGCTGTTGTGACGACGTTGTATCCAAGCGTACATGTTGGTGCATTCGCTACCGCTGGGCGCCGCGCTGCGCCAACAGGATGTCTATCCGTCTCCGCGGGCCCACACATTACTTGTCAATTTGGTCCGATCTGTCAAATGCTTCAGTCACGTCGCGAAAAGAGGATTCATCAGGGGTATCATGTTCATTTCAGGCAAGCCAAAAGCTTGCTTCGTCTATGCTAGTATCTTGTGAGGGGTGCGGGAAGACAGCGAGCTTGTACTGGCCATCATGTAGCACCATTCGAGCGCACGTGCGTCCTGTCGCACGACAGTACTTGCACGCGGAGTCTGCATAAAGAACCATGTCTGTACGTGTCGATCGGTTGTTCATTGTCCATTTATTGAGGCACTTGTCCATCTCCATTGAGATTTTCCTCTGACTGGTTCTCATGTATACCCACCAGCCGCTCGTGTCGCGGTACTGTTGCAACGTGTTTGTGATGAGGATTTGTTGGCTTTGTTCGAGGTAGCTCAAGGGTAAGTATGTGTGTCCAGCTTGGCCGACGAAGAGGATAAGATCAACTTTGTCGTCGTCGCCTGGAACCTTGCGAGGGCGCCCTGGTTTGCGGCGTGCCGACTTCTCAAATGACGCCGAGGATGGAGCGGGAGTCGAGATGCCACGGTCTTCTGAAGGCGTACTCGGGGGCGAGGAGCTTCCGATGTGTATTGGTGAGCGACGTGCTTCGTTGACTTGGGGTTGACGTTGATGATGGCTTTGTACGACAAGAGGAGTCAAGTCTCGAGCGGACAGCTGAGGCGGGGCGGCGACATCAGCACCCGCGGACGCGGCGGGGGACTTTGAGGCCTGCCTAGAGACTACCTGGTATGCGGTTGCAGGTGTTTGACGAGCTTCGTCGTCACCGTATGCAGTAACTCTACGTCGCTTAGGAGCAGATTCGATGATGGCTTTGTGCTCGTCCCTCTCTTTATCGGAGAGCTTGTTGTTGGCCTGGCGAAGCTCGATCTTCAATGCCCTATTTTCATCTCGGAGGTGACTGGCGTCGGTGTCGGCTTCGTGCAAGCTCATGCTCGTGTGCTCGAGCTTTGCTTTGAGCTTCTCGTTCTCCGACTTGAGCTGCTCTACGGTGGCTGTGATGGTCAGTAAAATGCACTCGCGTCAGGGTAGACAAGTACTCACCACCGACGTCAGTCAACTGTGCTTGTAACCGGAACAACAACATGGCGTGGGGGCGAGAGCGGGATGGGAATGAGATGAGTTAGAGGTGAAGTGAGGTGACGTGAGAAGGAATTGGGCTGAGGCGAAGATTTTCGTTGTGCGCTGTCGCCTATTCAAATGAAGGAGGTGCCGTCGGGGATGGGCCCACTGCGTTGCGGATGTGGAAAGTGCCATGGCACACAACACGAATCCTGTCAAAGTTTTAGATATCGCTTCATAGATCTGAGTTGACGTGTTATCATACCATTGCGCCTATTCAGTGTGTTATGGCTTCGTGCTGGCATCTATCCATGCCGTGCTTTCGCAGTGTACGAATTCTGCTCCAAGACACGTCGAGTTCACTCTAGGGCAGTATGCTTATAAGGTGGCTGTATGCCGATGATAAAGAATAACTGGTACCCGTAATAGGATGTCTGGCTTCGTGCCCCATTGCGATGATTGCGATGATGTTACTTGGTGATGTGATCGGGAGGTTGGGGTCATCTGCCTGGTTGACGCGTTCAGCACGGGCCCATGACGCGGTCCGATCGCTTATCGATAAACATAACGAGACTGTGCGGGGCGGCCGCGGCGTCAACACAGCTGGATGGCATCACTCTGACAAACACGACCTACGCAGTGCTTCTCTCTCTCTAAGTGCATGCTCTAAAATCAAATTAGTGCGAAAGAGCCATATCTTAGAAGTATTTCTAGCAAATCGACACTGTCGAATTGGACGTCATCTGTGAGAGCGACAGGAGTAGCGACTGAGGAGGTTCTTGTCAGTAAATACGAGAGGAAATCGAGGGGCCCGCAACGGCCTCCTGGGAGCAAAAGTGACAGAGTTTGTACAGTCCTTCAATCAACATCAGCATAGGCGTGGGCGTGGGCATGGTCAAAGAAAGAGTGAGTCAAGTAGACTCGTGGATGAGAACTATCATTGGATTCATAATAAACCTCATGAACCAGGATACAAGAGTCGACGACCCCGGGGGTGACATATGTGTGTGGCTGTGTGCTAGATGTCCCATAAAGTGACATCGACAACACGAGGAGTACCATCTCCTTCCTTGCGGAGGCTATTGAAAAGGGAACCCATGCTGCTAGCCCCAAGCTCTCCTAGCCAGGCCATCTCATTACTAGTCAACTTTGCATGACGCCAAGGGCAGCCAGCACCAAGAGGGCAAGTCTCGAGAGAATTGAAAGTGACCGCGCACAGCCCGAGACTGAACGACGACGAAGAGTAATATCTAGCCGGCTCAATCTGCACGGCCAGATCAGAGAACGGGAAGTCGACCGGCTTCCACTCAGTAAGGTCCTTGATGCTCTTGGGGATGCTGCCAAAACGCGAGTTCAGGTACGCCTGGTATGTTCGAAAGGCGATGGAGGTCTTGCCATGGACGACTCCCAAATGCTTAAGGAATGCCTGATATACGGCAGGCTCAACGTGCTCATGGAAACCCGCGACCGGAGGGCGGCCGCCAACTTGCATACCAGCTAGACACCGTTAATTAGGATTTGCCTGAAGATAAGATGTTACTTACGTTGGGGAGGTTGAGCAGAAACCGTGGTAGCAGATTCGGTGGGAGAAGAGCCGGCTGTGTACCTTCGAGTGGGCGCAGGAGGGTCGGCGTTATGCTCGAGAGCAGCGAGATTGGCTTCAATGAGAGGCTGTTCATCTTCCAACTCACGAACTGCGACGCGTTAGTATAGATGACCCGATCGTTGTTGAATGGAAAGTCTTACTAGACGGGTCGACCTTGCCCTTCACGCCCGTCAAGGCATCACCGAGAGCGCTGTTGCCGTGCACGGAGAGGCCTGTCTTTTGTTAGTGGCGCCTGAAATCATGAACAGGATGTACTGACGATCATTGGACTCGCTGGATGCCTTTGAAGGCTCTTTGGGAGCGGCTGCGTCCCGTTGATGTTTGGCCTCTCTTCTCGCTGCTCGACATTAGCCGTGATCATGGTTGAAAAGGAAATGATAAATACCCTTGAGAGCGGCGAACTGCGCATGTACGTATACTTCAATTGAGTCCATTGCGTATGATCGATAGGGATGGTATGGAGGTGTAGTGAGGACGAGAGGAAGGAGCAGGACAGAAATGGTTGGCGATCTGTGTGCGAGTCTGTGCGCCAGCTCACGGCTCCTGCCCGGTTGAGAATCGTCGGTCACCCAGCTTTGCCGCGCTAGAAGATTCCATAGAGCGCGTTGGGGTGATACGAGGGTCCAGGTGAAAACATTTTGATGCGAAGTGAAGCACGGCATTATCATACTATGACAGCATATGGAACCCTGCAAACTTTCCCCAAGGTGAAGCGACACTGGTCTAACACTCAGCCCATAAGCTCGACCCCGCTTCTACCTAGAGACAAGTCAAGAATAAAGATGCGCGCGATGCGCCTATACTAAAGGAGGGAAGTAGGAATTGAGATCAGCCGAATGAAATGAGGAAAACGACATTGGAGGACTGCGTATGGTGCAGCGCTTCCAAACAGGAAATGCGAACAAAGAGCCTGACTACAAAAGGAAAAGTTCGTCAATCTGCGTATGGCACATGTTCTAGTTCCCGTCATTCTGCCTGCATCGCAGCATCAAAGTATTCTTTAATGAGATAGCGGTGATCTTGTATCACCATCCCTACGTCAAGCACCTTGACGTTGTGCTCAACAGCGTATGCCTTGCCGTAATTAACGCGACTCTCTAGCTCAAGGTATTCTCCTTCCGTGGATTGGACTTGGATGGAATATTTTGTTAAAGCCTCTCCTGGAAGTTGATTAGGTGCGGCTACCGTAGTATGAATGATGCCGTGATCACCCATCCTCACACCGGGTTTCGCGGCGCCGCGACCTCTATACGTTTGTATAGGGCTACGGGGTACATTAGTATATCAAAGCAGAAATTGTCGATGAAATTTACGTACATGCACTGACTGAATTCGCCCTTATTACGGACAACGACGAAACGGCGTATTTCACTAAAAGCCGTCTCACCATATTGCACAGTACTGAAGTGGGTTGAGTTGCGGGTCTTTCCAGGGTTCATCTGGCCGGCAGGTTCCGTCCAAAGCATCTTGAAGACCTGAGAGCATACGGTTAGTACGGTATCGATACTGCTCAGGGAGTTGAGCTTACTCGACCAAGTACAAAGAACGTCGCACGCGATGGTTGCGCCACCCGTCGATATCCTTGTAAGCGTAAGCATTCATTGATCAGATTGTGCGGTTTATTTAACCTACTCGCATCTAGTTGTTCCTGAGCAAAGCTCTCATTGAGATTCGTTTGTATGTATCTTCGATCGAGACTATGAATAGTAGATTGCACGTCAGGCGGCAGAGACGTTACGTGCCGGCGTGGCCCTGGATACTGTGATGGTTGACCGGTCGCTCCATCTTGTGTTGTGTACTGAGATTGACTTTGCTGCAAAGAGTTAAAAGGGTAGCCGTCATGAGCCTGGAGGTCTTGCTGTGGCCATGGTGAGCCTCCTGAATTCGTCGTCGCCGAAGCATGAGCGGAAACGTGAGACGGACTTGGCGATCCGTACTGCTGTGTTGTGTAATTCAACCCTGAGCCGCCGATATTGTCTACCCGACTCCCTCCTGGTACATAGTACGACGAAGATTGCTGAGTACTGCTTCCACTTGCATTATTTGTTCCGAGCACAGTTATAGGCCATTGGATCGTGGAAGCAACGGTTTGCGGCTGGGTCGCCAGCGACGTGAAGGCTGGGTTTACAACAGTACGGGGTATACTATGTCTTGGTTAGGCAATGTTCAGATCAATGGTGTATGCGCGACACTGAACTAACCTCGCACTGGGTCTATTGTCATACGTAGTCGCGGTCGGTGCTGGAGGAACAGCAGCCTCTGCGGGACCAGCCCATAAGATATCCAGCGTTGTGACGCCATCATCCGCCATGAGATATGAGTAGTGACGGTTATGTGGCTGTGACCAGGTCCAAGGCCCGTATCTCGGCATAGCTACATTTTCGCGACGTGACGACCGTAAGGCATTGGATAAGGGTAGCAACAGGCCTTAATAGCTCGTGGATGTCAGAGCGGGGCACTCCGGAACCCAGGAAGAGCCTCTTCGCCGAAAAGAGATGGCTCATCTTTCTGTGGCGTCTTTGCAGATGCAAGCTTGTGACCGACTCTGTATGAATGCTCGACGTGGTCGATGCACCACTAGCGCGCCGTATCGTGGAAAGGGTGGGCTGGGTGGGGCAAGCTACGGCGGGGGACGCGTCTTCGCGTAATCGCCGTTGACACCTGGGTAGCAGGTCCACCGCAGCCTCTAGTCAACCATCACAACTCCGTTGCGCTACTTCCCTATACAGGCATCATTGAAAGATACTACAGATCCTGAGGTCTGTTACTTAGCGCGTCGGTTCTCGCATGTCACACCTTGTTAGAAATTCTACTTTGCGTTGAGCGCACGGCCGTTATGCAGGCTCCTTCCAGTGTTGTCGATAAATCAACGGTACACCAATGCATCGTGGAAGGGGCAGGGTACACATTAACACCCACAGGCTGAGCCGATGGAATCAAAAAGCTCCGAGCTCATCGCGGAAGTCTTCGATGAGGAACGTGCTGATCGAGCAAATTCTGAGCCACCTGATGATCATGAGATCAGATCTTCCAGCAACGAAATATCAAGAGGGCCCATACCGGAGCTTCTTTCACCATGTTTAGTCTGCAAATCTCGGAAAGGAATTCTCAAAAAAGTGCGCTTTGATGAGGCTTGCGGGCCTCATAAGGAGGATAGCATGCAGGACCAGAATGTGCTTGTGCATCCAAGATCGCCCATCCCATCTGCGGCAGTGGGCTTCCACGGCGAGAAGCTAGTTGTAGACGACAATGGTTCTTCGAAATCTTTCTCCCTCCCATTGCCCGCACCACCACCGCCGCCTCCACCTCCGCCTCCGCCACCACCATTGGAAGCCCCTCGACCCCCGTCCCTGTTTAATAAGGCTCTTGAAGCAAACAAACATTTGAACGCGGCGGCCTTCCGATTGTATACCAGCTTCATGAATGAACTCTCCGACTTTGTCATCCAGCAAGGTGAAGTAGTCGCAATGCGCCTCGCTGTTCAAGAAAGAAGGAAGCAGCTGCATACACTGAGGGAACACGTCTCCAGATGTGATATGCTACTCATCAATTGTATGCGCGAGCAAATGAATGGCGGTCTTTCTGTGAACGAACGCGTTATGCTTAAGTACTTTGAGGCATCACAGGCGGCAAGAGACGAGATTGGCCCGGTCGAATCGGAATACGAACCTCTTGAGATAATGCTCGGGTCGAAGGAACATCAGCTGGTAGATATGTATTCCAAGATGGAAGAAACCTTCGAGCATTTTTTCAGACTCAACATAACCCCGACCAGTGAGTCGAAAGAGCCGTCTAAAATCGAATATGAGGCTTCATCGGCCAGCTCTGTCATCGAAGAAAATGTCACTCCTGGAGGTATCGAGCATCTTCACGGAGCTCTCATTGGAGAGAACGTTGGTATTGGCCAACATCCGAGCCACGTCAGGGAGTTCAGACCAAGAGTTCATGAACGCTGGGTGCGTGGAGAGTCTCATAGAAGAAGCGCATCGTTGGGATCAACTGATTTGTCCAAACCTAGCAACACTACTCTCGCATATGAGGGCGCTTCTTTCGGCGATATGACCGGTACGCTTGGATCTATCGGAACGTGGATAACAGATAAGATCGATTTGACTGGAACTGGTGCAACACCCCAGAACCAGTATAAGCATGGGAAAGCGTCCTTTGGTAATAACTATATCGAAATCTCTGGTGCGCTACCGGACTTGACCAACGACTTCCCGGTCAACCCAGGTCTCGACGAAGGAAATCCTTTACTCTTACTAGACGAGAGCAACGAGACAAGAGCTATCCTCAGCGATTATCTCGTCAATTTTGAGAGCACACCCGACCGGGTAAATCGCTGGATGTTACATCACCTTCGCGTCTCGCCTCGCGAGATCTACACGCTTCACAGGCATATCACCAAGCTCACATCAAAGCCAATACTCTGGGCGACGTCAGTGCTCAAGCAATGGCCACACGATAGTTTTGGACACAGCGATCTTTTTGACAAAGGGTCGGCCGAGATTGAGGAGAGCGTGTTGAACCCTCAGATCCTCGGCTATCATGGAGCATGTGATCCCGAATGCCGTGCTACTCACCCCTGGCCGGATGAGGATGCATGGCTAGAACCGAGGTCGTCCAATTTCTCCACTGCTGAAACTGCCCCAATTCGACCAGCACAGCTCGAACCAGAACACAATTTGCCAACAGTGCACGAGTTTCCATCGGAGCACAACGATGACGACTAACCCAACTCTAATGGCAGCGGTCCGAATATACTATGAAGATCTGATGGATGGGTATGATCCGAGATTCTACTAAAGCGCGAGAATACTAGCAACACGACGAGGGGTGTCTCGAGAAGTAATGTGAAGCGAAAAATCTCTACCTTTTGCCATCATCGATGCACTGGGCACGCTTGTTGTTCTTGACCAACAGCTTCGCTGCAACATGTCTTGTCGCGGAATCGGCCGCGGTAGGACTTTCTCTGGAAGCTTGACGATGCTTCAGCCACGACATGGATGTGTTGAGCCACCGCTTGGGGCACAAACGCATACCCTGGTAATATGCACATGTCCTGCAAGCCTTCCTGCAAGTGCATCTGGTCATGAGTCACACATTTTTCGCAGGCATATCTCATGATATATCTTATCCACCAATCAACAGTGGATATATAGCAGAGCCGCAAGCCTTTCGGCCGCGCTCGTACCAGCACATCAATCTGGAATTGACCCTTTCACCCATATCATATTCCAGTCTTCATCCCTTTCGCGAACAATACTCAGCTGCTAGCCAACCGATCTCAGACTTCTGGTCACTGTACTATCGGCCAGCAGGCTTCGTAGCCCATTCAGCCGTATCTTCAGCCGTGTCGCGTCGCTCACCGATATAGATGTCTTAGCGCGGCGATGATTGGTCAGTCTGGACGGGCTTATTGCCACGAAAACAG